AAACCAAATGAGTTTTCATCCACGTTTATTTACATTTATTTTAGTTTAGCTAAAATATTTAAGTAAAATGTGTGCTTTTCATTTTAGCCAAATTTAATTTTAATATTCTAATAATTATATTATTATTATTCTACTTACTTATATAAATTAGCTATTATTTCTCTTATCCTAGCTATATAGCGTCTTACTCTTAACAAATTTATTCATTTTAAAACACAAATATACGATCAAACTTAATATTAATAATTAAAAACTACGAACGAAAAGCATTATAACAAGATAACGAAACAATAAAACACAACTTAACTATTAAATATACGAAAAATATAGGAATAAAGTTTAGGATAACCGGTATAAAATAACGAAAGAAAGTAATAATGATCAAAAGAATGACACCGCCACTGGATATTTCAATAGTATTAATATTTCTACTCTTTTCAGAAGTGACCGTGAAGTTGGGGATAAGGCTAGCGACTAGGAAAGGCGTAAAAGCCATGGCAACCGCGTGGTAACAAATCCTGTGACGTACTCTCGCCAATCATGTTCGATGAATAGGCGGCCATGCGCGGCGATGCCGGTTTGTCAATGATGTCCTCGATATATCTTCACCTTTGGTAATAAGCAGATTATACAGAATGAAAGAAATAAGTTATTAAATAAAACATATCCAACAATATGAACTACGTTAAAATTCCTTAGTAATATACGTCAGAATATATGCTAAACACATTATATATAATAAAAATATATTAAATTTATAGTTCGTGTCTGGCAATTTTGCAATTTTATAGATAAACGTGGCAATATCGATATTTTTTCTCGCATTCCTTGATAATACCACCATTGACGTCGTTGATTCTGTGAAATTTTTAGGCCTTGTTGTGGACAACTATTTAAAGTGGGATTTGCACATCGACGCTTTAGCTAAAAAATTAAGTTCTGTCTGTTTCGCACTTAGATCAGTTGCTAATGTGCTTAATTTGTCAACATCTAGGACAGTCTATTATGCCCTTTTTGAGTCGTATCTCAGATACGCACTTCCATTCTGGGGTGCGTGTTGTGCGACTCAATTTGAGCGTATCTTCAAATTACAAAAGAGAGCTGTGCGATATTCACTGAGGCTAACCAGTCCTGCTCACTGCCGGGACTTGTTTAAAAGATATAAAATATTAACTCTTCCTTCCCTATTCATACTCGAATCCGTCTGCCTAGTTCGCAAGCACGTATCGAGTATTTCTCTAGAGCCAGTTCATGGCTATCCAATTAGGAACGCAGAGCATAACATGTATCTGCCAACCCCTCACTCTGAGTTAGTAAAGAGTTCCCAATTGTACAATGCAAAAAAAAATGCACTATCATCTGCCATCTGAAATTAATTCCATTTCATCCTTTCCTGCATTTCGCAGAGCCTTGAGATCATACTTACTGGAGAAAGCCTTTTACGCGGTTAACGATTTTTTTATTAATATCTAGGGTTCTAAATTTAACACACATTCACTAAATTTAGAAATGATTTTGTTTTCTATCCATTTAAATTTAGTATTGACATTATATACAGTTGTTTATTTACATGTATGTTTATATTTTATTTATATTTAATTAAATAAATTTTTTGACAATGTACAATTTCTATAATTGTATAAAGTATTGTTTTAGTTTTGTATGTTTGCTGTTAGTTTTATATGTTTTTCTATTGTTAAGTGAAGTTTTGTATGTTTTTTATATTCTTTTTTTTTTTTTTTTTTTTTTTTTTTTTTTTAAGCTTTGTCAACAAAATTGTAAAATTTTTTATGACAATAAAGCAATTTCTTTCTTTCTTCCTTCCGTAGCTTCAGATCCGCTGGTCAAACAGTATAAAATAATTTTTCTTGTTTTTTTAAATAGAACACCCTGTATATTATTTTTTTATTTGATGGAGAATTAAAAAATGAAAATTTTTTGTAAGTATTTCAAAATTTTTAGTAGTTTTCCGGATACACGCAATATTATTTCATATGGCGCTTTCAATGGTAAAATACGAGAGAAAAATCATTGGGTGGCTTTGATAAAAATTTACTGTGGAAAATGCCATATGAAATACAAAACCGGGAATATCTGCGAAACCGTTAAAAATTTTGAAATACTCCAAATGCAAAAAATGTTCATTTTTTAATTCTCCATCTATTGAAAAAATAATATACAGGGTGTTCCATTTAAAAAACCAAAGAAAAATTATTTTACATTTAAGAAAGTTTGGCGTAGAATTTTGAACATCCTGTATGATTTACGATTTCCATATTTATAGCAAAGTAAGTACAGACCATCTAAAGTAAATATCTAATATAGCTTTGATTTCAGAACAATTCTTGTTATTATTAATAAATTTTTGAAGAAAGGCTGAAAAATATATAATTTTTATTTGTTTATTAATATCTCTGAAATTATCGGAATATATTTATTCATATCTTAGGATTATGTAAAGTGATCTGTAAGGAAGCCAAAAATGCAATAATATACAGGGTGTTCCATTTAAAAAAGTCATCCCGATCCACTCACACTTTTTTGAGCCACCCTATAGAAGTTAAAATATTCTCCTGAAATACATCCTAATACATACTTTAGGTTTGCAGTTAAACAAAATTCCCAAGTTTTTTATTCTAGGAGCTACAGATGCCCGACGCACTATTGCCGGACCCTGTACATATAAAGTAAAAACTTAAAACTATACACCGTAAACTGAACTTCAAGATCTCCAGTGCATACAGAACGTCTCCGCTGAAGCATTAAATGTCATATCTGGGGTACCTCCTATTCACTTGCTTGTAGAGGCGAGAAGAGAGCAACATCAGTATGTTTCTTGCATAGTTTTGATCCTTTCAACATCAAAACTATGCAAGAAACATACTGATGAATAAATGACAAAAGGAGTGGGATCTAGACAAATATGGTAGATGGACACACAATCTCATACCAGACATTAATGCCTGGTTGTTTAGATAGTTGTTAAATAGTAGTTTTGGTGAGACAGATTATTTTCAATTATTGACAGGGCACGAATGCTTTAACAGCTATCTGTATAAAAGGAAGAAATCCACATCAAACCTGTGCATATATTGCAATGAAGTTGATAGTGTCGAATACACACGTATTCCTCTGCAATTAATAGAAACAGTTCATAGAGATATTACAACGGGACAGTGGCAGACAAGTTTTTAATGCCAAAAACTTAAGTTGTTAAGTAGTGAAGAATCATGGAAAATTACATATAAATGTATTCAAGAAATAGTACAGACCAAAGAGAATAGAATGCCTAACCTAACCATATCGCATAGACAGCCTTCCAGCTGAGGTAATGCGCAAGCGGTGTCTATATAGCTAGATAGAGCTTTGCAATGCGAATTTAGTCGGTAGGAATCCGACACTACCCAACGAATGGAAGATTTTTCGCCTCTTCCTCAAAAAAATATAGATAAACGAAATAAATTCAGATTGGAATGCTCGGCTTTCCGCCAAAACGTATCATTGTTTTGGATCATAGACAACAAGAACAGAAAGAGTTTTCTCTTGTCAAGGTCAGAACCTACGAAAATTATAAAATGTTACATAATTTAAACCGTCCTCATTGAAAAAGTACCAAAAAGTTTTTAAAGTGTCCATTTTTAAAGTAATTATAATAATTGTGTTGTGTGGGGGGCAAAAAAAAGTGTAAAGTGGCATTAAAAAACTTAAACTTTATGGTATGTGAACTTTGAACTGTAAAAACCATTATGGTATAACGTCGGTTTCCAATGTTCCGCAGCTATTTTATATATTATGTCCTTATATAAAATAAACTTTTTTATATGCAACACACTGTATTTTATTTATAAAATTAAAAAAAAATAATAAACTTGATTCAATAATATTTGGCGACATAATTCAGAAAAAGCCGAACGGCTCCGAAGTTATTAAATTTTTGGATCGCGACCGTTGTAAGAATAGCGCCAAATAGTATTTATGTTACGCACAATACTCGAATTCGGGTAATGCCCGAAAAAATTGCACAGAACTAGTTTTGAGCAAAAAATATTTCCCAAACCCAAAATTGTACATTTAAACGGGTACTGCGCATTACAAAATAATCAAAACTAGTATTGTGCATTTTGAATTGCGCAAAACTAGTTTGGTGCATTTCAAAATGTCCAAAACTAGTTTTGCTTATCCTATTTGATCAATAACGCCCTAACACAAAGGATGTATTGCTTATGAATGTGTTTGATTCAATGATTAAACTGACAATAAAATACTTAGAAAATAAAACTTTATTTATAAATATTTTTTAAATGGATAAATACATAATAATATAGGTACCTATATGAATATTTATACAGTCGCATTATATTATTTATTTGAACAGGAACTTAATTGGTGGCACATAGAGTTGCAAATAACATTATTTTTTCTACAAGAACACGCTCTATTAATATATTTTTTATACACATGCATGAAATAAAACCTTGAGTAGATCCGGATATTTCCGTTTTATCGCCAACATTGTTGTCAATAAAAAAATTATTATCAGCTAATTGAAACTCATTTCTACAATAAAATTTTTGTAAAACTTCAGTCTTTGTTGCTAATTTGTAAAACCAAAGTCAATATCGTTAGGTATTGGTTTTTCGACATAAGGTTATGTTTCTGTGTTTTAGCCATCATCAATCGAATTACCTACAACACAATTTAAAATGTACAATACTAGTTTTTGCTATTTTGTAATGTCCATTAGGATAATGTTTAAATGTACAATTTCGGGTTTGGGAAATATTTTTTGCTCAAAACTAGGTCTGTGCATTTTCTTCGGGCATTACCCGAATTAGAGTATATTGTAATCAGAGTATTGTGCGTAACATTTACATTATCCTAATGGACACTTTTCAACCTAAGCTTGTTTTATTTTATATATCATGTATATATCTTTCATTTTACTTTATCTTGCTAAGTCAATTTGATGTAGCAATTGTCAAAATCAAACTGACTTATTGTCAATGAGCATTATAATAATTACTGTCATAAGTTGCATAATATGAGCAAAGATTATTAATATGCCCAGAGATCATCATACTTCCAAGTCGAAATTAAGTCTAGGAGATAAAATAGGGTTTAATCCATCTTCAGGCCCATGCCAATTAAAGAAGAAATGTGATAAGCCTAAAAACCTGTACCAAGAATATATAGGTAAATATAATTTTTATATTTCAAGCTTTCTGTTAATTTGTAGGGGCTATTAGAAGGATATTAAAGGATATTACAGCCATTCCAACCTTCAACTGTATCCTTCCTGTTACTGTGTACTTGATTTGTACTCGCCTACTATACAGGGTGTCCCAGGCTGAGCGTGCATTAGAAGTTTCTAGAGAACTACAACATCTAGCTCTGATATTTTTTGCACATCATAGTTTCACATTGAGATCTATCGATTAAAAATATTTTCAATATGGCGGCACTTCCGGAAATACCGGAAGTTGACAGCAACTTTCTTATTTTAAATGGGTGCCCCCATTTTTTATTACATTCTTAAATTCTCTGTAAAATTTTATGACTTTTGACATCAAACACTCTATATCTAACATTGACCGTTTTTGAGAAAAAAAAATATTTGAAATTTTTGAACGAAAAAAACTGCCTGTCAAAAACATGTGTATAGACTAAACGTCAAATTTAGTGATTACCACGGCCACTTTGCCATAAAGAGAAAACATGTGGCTATCTACTCCAAATATTAAATTGTTGGAATGTCATATAATAATGGCCGCGGCTGTCATAGAATTGAGCGATTAAAAAATTACCATAAATAATTTTTTTCAAATGGAAACCCACATTTTTTATTTCACTAGTGAAAAGGCTTTTCAATTCGTTACTTTTTGACTATACATATTCCTATACCTAAAATAAATCGTTTTTTAGTTATTTAAGATTTAGTTTTAAAGCGTATGTTTTTTCTTGATTTTAACCAGTAGCCTATGACTTTAAACGTCAAATGATGTAAAACAATAGATCTGGCCATGTCATATTGTGACGCTTTGTTCAAAAAGCAGCATCATTTCCGAACCAAGTTTTTTTTCGATCATACGGAGTATTATTATCATCAACTATTAGATATCACGAGATATATTTTTATAAATACATTTTTAAACTTTTAAGCAGGCAGTATTTATAATATAGGAAATTCAAATAATTCGTTTTCTGACAGAGGGAATAAGGGAAATAAATTGTCTGACCGTTTGACACTTAATGTCAAAGGAAGCTAGATAAAATAAAGAAAAATATACGTTTTCAAATTAAATCTTAAATAACTTGAAAACGATTTATTTTAGGTATAGGAACATGTATGGTTAAAAAGTAACGAATTGAAAAAGCTTTTCATCAGTGAAATAAAAAGTGTGCTTCCATTTGAAAAAAAATATGTATGATAATTTATTAATCGCTCAATTCCATGACAGTTACTGTCATTATTATATGACATTTGAACAATTTAATTTTTGAAATAGATAGCCACATGTCATCTCTTTATGTTACAGTGGCTGTGGTAATCACTAAATTTGACTTTTAGGCTATACAAATTTTTTTAACAGGTAGCTTTTTTCGTCCAAAAATTTTAAATATCTTTTTTTCTCAAAAACGGTTAATGTTAGATATAGAGTGTTTAACATCAATATTCAAGCAATTTTACAGAGAATTTAAGTATGTAATAAAAAATGGGGGACCCATTTAAAATAAGAAAGTTGCTGTCAACTTCCGGTATTTCCGGAAGTGCCGCGATATTGAATATATTTTTAATCGATAGATCTAGTTGCAAAACAATGATGTGCAAAAAATCTCCGATCTAGATATTATGGTTCTCTAGAAACTTCTAATGCACGCTCAGCCTGGGACACTCTGTATATGTCGCAGGCGTATAGGATAATCCGGCTTTTTGCAAAAATACTAGACATATTATAAAACGCCGGATTTTTACACAAAAGAAGGAATTTTTACAAAAAGACTATCTATTTTCACACTTGCTTGTCACTTTGCAAAAAGTCTAATCAGAATTAGGCATATTAAACAATGACGATATTTTCTGTACACTTCTGCAAAAGACTGCCTGTTTTCAGTCATTTTACAAAATGCCAAATCGAGAATCAAGGCCAGGCAGATTAAAAAATGATCAAAGTTTAGTCAGCTATGAGCATAAACATATTGAATAATTTAAGCTTTAATAAAAATATATTTTTGTTAACACCATATTTTCCTATGCAAAAACATAATTAAGTATGTCAATATTTTATTATGTTTAGACTAGTAGCGGATACCGAAGGGGGCCTACTGGGTCCAGGACACCCTAAAATCTATAAATTGGGTTAAATATTAGGCTTTTGGGTTAAAAACGGCGCTCTAAAAAGCATATTTTACATTACTTTTTATTTGCCCCCCCCTAAAATAAATTCCTGTATCCGCCGCTTGTTCAGACGAAAACAACTTCCTATTTCATAAATTTTAATTGTAATAACATAATTTTTAATACAAAATATATTAAAACCTTAATATTAATATATCATTTAATTGTTATACTCTGTAATTCGATTCAGTGTTCTGCTTCTTTGTGGAACTTTGCTTTCTTTTAGAATAAAATGAATTTAGATCTTTATAATAATCATCCTCAACCATACTCTATTTAGCAGAATTATCACTTTTTGTGCCATTATTTCCAAATTTTGAATTATGAAGTTCAAAAAATGTCGTTGGGTAAATTTAGGTTAGTTATACCAGTTGACTAGTCTTCATTAGGCACTTTACAAAACGTCTGAAAAGAGATTGGCTCTTTCTAAGATATACTTTTTTTGTTAAAAACGCCGAAGTTTTATAATATGCCTAGTCTTTTTGCAAAATGTCGTGTTATTCGATACGCCTGCCTGCGACATATATACCTATACAAGTAATCTAACATCTCTTGTCTGCCAGGTTAAGGCATACCGCCGTCAACGACAATTAATTCAATTTTCCACCGGCACGTACAGATGTAGAATTACCATACCGCCGGTTGGTGGTATTTTTTTGTATATACCAAAAATACCGCCGGAGATTGTTTAGCCTCTACAAAAAATAAAATCAACAGAAAACCTAGGTATATCTTAAAAAATACAACTTGAAATAATATGCTTGATAGTAGCTTTTGTGGTGAAAAAAAGTTATAGTTCAAAAGTTATTATTTTCTAACATTGGCTACCCCATTCATATGTGAAAGCTAATATGTTTTGTATTTTTTCGTGGCTTTTCGAATTAACATGCTGTTTTACATTAACAGGGCATTTTTCGCTGAAATCCCGGAAATATCATTTGTTTACCCACACAATTCCTGCCATTAATGTAATAAAGTAATATAACCGGATTTGTGACAGGGGATTTACCTCGGAACTTGCCAGATTATTTAGGATTATTTTTTTAGGTAAAATTGGGCTATACCGGGTGCGTCTCAAAAGTGGTTCACCCCATAACTTTTTTATTTTTTCAGATAAAAAAACGAAATTTGGCATGTTACCGTATGACATAAATTAGTAGTGATTGATTAATTCAATTGTAAAATACTAAAATTTCCCATTTCTTTTCTTTTCTTTTATTTTTTTATTTTAGTAAATTCTTAGTTATTTCTTTCTTAGTTTTTTTTATTTTTTATTTTTTATTTTTTTTTCTGAGTAAATTTATTGAAATAACTGAATCTAATGCATAAGCTATACCTATTCTGCTTATATTCTAATCATTAAAATTTTGATTGACATCGAATTATACAGGGCGGCGCGTCATATACGACGCTGTTTTTGCAAGGAGAACAAAAGTTTGTATTGGAGTGAAATTTTGTGAGCTTATGTAAATCAATTTAAAGCATTTTCTAAAATTATATACAGTTCTACAGGGTCTCCTGAAAAAAAGTTACACATCAAAGTTGTGTTTTTTGTATATTGTACATCAAAGTTGTGTTTTATGTATATCTCTATATATTAATTGATTTTCGCATTTTAATAAAAACATATAGGCGAGTTTCATTAGAAAAGTATATGACTAAAATGTATAGTTTTTGAAATACATTCACCGGCACGAAAAATAGGCGCTTTAAAACTTTGATTTTGCTTTGATGTATTTTAAAGTTTAATATATTTTGTTCTAGTGGGCCGATTTTGATATTTTTTTAAGCAGTATGTAGCCAAGTTGTTTGACTTTTTAGTATCTCTTTCTAAATTAAAAATGAAACTCCCCATTTGTTAATTATACGAGGAAAAACAAAATGTTGATATTTCGGTGAAAATTTGAAACACCCTGTGGAATATGTGGAAACAGCAAGAAATTTAAAAATCATTTTGTCATCTAGATACATCCTTTTTCGATAGTTTGTTTTTTGGTTCATCTCATTAGCTTTATTTTTGTTGGAGATATTCGCTTTTGAAGAAGACACTTTTTTTCGTAATTTTTACATAAAGACCATGCATTTGCTTTTGGTCCTAGTCAACAGATCTAGTAAGTTCTGATCTCAAAGCAGGCTTTCTTGATATAAGATTTGCTTCATTTAGTCTTCTCCTTATAGTGCGTAAGTTAATATGTACGTTCCTTAGGTGTAATTCATTATACATTTGAAAAGCTGACAAAAGACGATTTCTTACCGATAAACTTACAATAAGTCGATCGTCCCGATTAGAAGTTCTCATACGAATATTTCTCAACGTCTAGATTGGCCGTGGTCATAATTCAAAAAACCACTCAGTATACTCTATGGTATTAAGTAGTAGTGGGAACTATCGAATGAATACTATCGAAACATTCGATAGTTGCAATTCATTCGAATAATTCGATAGTTAGTAAGAAAACATTCGTTGAAAACTATTCGAATAAAAATTATCGAATAGATCCGTCATCTGCCTTGAAATATTGTATTCTAGTAATTCGGCAGTAAAAACCATTCATTTATAAAATTCATTCATTTATAAAATTCATTCATTTATAAAATTCATTCATTTATAAAATTCATTCATTTATAAAATTCATTCATTTATGAAATTCATTTATTCGTCAGGATCGATTATAATAAAATATTAACTGAATTTTAGTTGTCGCTAGGGTTCCCAACCGTCCCGGTTTGGCCGGGATTAACCAGGAATCAGAAAGTTTGTCCCGGCGAAAGTTTTGCGCCGCCCGGGACCTAATGT